GTGTGTGGTGACTGAGGGGAGCTCTCTGTGCCGTGACTGACATGTGTGTGGTGACTGAGGGGAGCTCCCCTGTGCCGTGACTGACACGTGTGTGGTGACTGAGGGGAGCTCTCTGTGCTGTGACTGACACGTGTGTGGTGACTTAGGGGAGCCCTGCCGAGCCGTGACTGACACGTGTGTGGTGACCGAGGGGAGCCCTGCTGAGCCGTGACTGACACGTGTGTGGTGACTGAGGGGAGTTCTCTGTGCCGTGACTGACACGTGTGTGGTGACTGAGGGGTTCCCTGCTGAGCCGTGACTGACACATGTGTGGTGACTGAGGGGTGCTCTCTGTGCTGTGACTGACACGTGTGTGGTGACTGAGGGGAGCTCTCTGTGCCGTGACTGACACGTGTGTGGTGACTGAAGGGAGCTCTCTGTGCTGTGACTGACACGTGTGTGGTGACTGAGGGGAGCCCTCTGTGCTGTGACTGACACGTGTGTGGTGACTGAGGGGAGCCCTGCTGAGCTGTGATTTACACGTGTGTGGTGACTGAGGGGAGCTCTCTGTGCTGTGACTGACACGTGTGTGGTGACTGAGGGGAGCGCTGCTGAGCTGTGACTGACACATGTGTGGTGACTGAGGGGAGCCCTGCTGAGCCGTTACTGACACCTGTGTAGTGGACTGAGGGGAGCTCTCTGTGCCTTGACTGACACGTGTGTGGTGACTGAGGGGAGATCTCTGTGCCGTGACTGACACGTGTGTGGTGACTGAGGGGAGCTCTCTGAGCCGTGACTGACACGTGTGTGGTGACTGAGGGGAGCCCTGCCGAGCCGTGCCTGACGTGTGTGGTGGACGCCACGTTGCCATTCTCCTGTTTCTGCACTCGAAGGTGTGAGGTGGGAACTAACAACTGGGTGCAGTGCAACGATGCGCCTGTGAAGATCTGCAAGTACCCCGTGACGGGCCTCTACGAAGGCAGGTCTTACATCTTCCGCGTGCGGGCCGTCAACAGCGCCGGCATCAGCCGGCCTTCCCGGGTCTCGGACGCCGTGGCCGCCCTGGACCCCGCGGATCTCAGGAGGTTACAGGGTAGGTCGCTCACTTTCCAGCTACGACCGGGACGTGGTGGGCTCTCTTGTGTGTGGTGGTTTGCTCTCTGTTTTCCCGCTCACTCGGGTGAGCCCTCAGCAGGCTGAATGTAGCTCCCTCACGCAGATTCCACGTGACAGAGAGCCTAGACTGGGACCCGGCCTCGACACGGGTGCAGTGATCGCTGTTTGCCTTGCCCAGGGGCTCGTCTGAGTCCACTGCACAGAGCTGCAGAGTTGTGAATGGCGCCGCAGCCAGTTCCCAGCCACGCACGCTGCAAACCTCACTCGCGAGGACGGTGTGCACGGCCTCCTCACGGAGGTGGCTCGGACCTGCCCCGAATCGGGGAGAACGCCTGCTGTCCTCGGGAAGCCGCGGGATGTCGCATTCAGTGTCGCACTTTCTCTCCGCAGCCATTCATTTGGAGGGGGAGAAGGAGGTTGTGATCTACCAGGATGACCTTGAAGGTAAGGGTCTTGGTGACTTCAGCTGCCTGTGCCCTGGGGACTGCGAGCTGGGATTAGACACGAGACAGGGACGTCACACACCTGCAAGGTGGGCCCGCTCTGCAGGCAGCTTCAAGTCCAGAAGAATTAAAAATATAAGCAAAACAGGTTGGGGGGAAGAATCCAGGTGTGGGAGGCGGGCTGTGGGCTCGTGGCTCCCGGGCGGGATCCGTAGATGCCTCCTGTCGGGTTCCGGCCACGTTCTCTCTGCAGACTGACAGGGAGGCACAGGGAAGCCGAGGTCCAGTCCCTGCCTGGAGAGCTCCTTGCTCACAGGTGCACTTGAAGAGAAGCTTAGGTTCCCTTTCAAGCTAAAATGCCATCCCTTGCACTGGAACTGAAGTGGTGTGTCTCTCTCTCCAGTGACGTTCTTGGCTTGAACGCTTGTGTTTCCCTCACTCGTATTTGATTCGTGGCTACTTGGCTTCAGTGCCCTGGGGGCAGCTGGAAGGAACGTGATTAGAAGTCACAGATTTCAGGTGGACTCAGAGTTCTTGGAGCAGTGGGTGGAGACAGACCTCAGAGGGAGCCTGTCCACCTGGAGCCTTGGCCAAGCAGAGGCACTTGGGGCTGCAGCGTCTAAAATTCTGTTCCCCAGAGAGCTGCAGATCCCAGAATCCTGCAGGCCAGTGCTTGTACTGGAGGCAGAGAGGCCCCTAGAGGGGAGCTCCACGTGGGTACCTCAAACTGCCCAGGCCCCGACGCTCCCCACAAGGGGAGGAACCCCAGGGCTGCACCCTGTGGAGTTCTGCCGCGTTCATCCCAAGATAGCGTTTACAACCTGGCCAAAGCTTCTGCCTGGCAGAACCAGAAACCAGGGGCGATGTCCAGTGCATAGGTCACAGAGGAAAGACCGCGGCTGAGTCGAGTGGGACTTCCTGGCCCTGTGCCTGACGCGCAGTGGACACTTGCCCTTCCTCTGATGATGAACGTGTGGACATTTGAATGAGCGAAGGGATCTGCAGGTTATACTGCACTGCGCTGGCTGTGCTACACCTGTGTGTTCAGCAGGAGGAGGGGACCATTCTTCCTCACCACTGCACGGCAGCTCAGGGCCCCGGTGTCGCTAGGTCTCACAGACAAGCAGGGACTCCGACCTGCACACCGGACCTGCAGGGCCTGTGCTGCGGTGGAGAGGGTAAAGCTGCCGCCGGCAACGTCGGCGGCCCATGTGGGCGCCGGCTCGCGTCCCAGCTGTTCCACTTCTGATCCAGCTCCCTGCTGAGGTGCCTGGGAGAAGCAGCAGAGGATGGCCCACGTGCTTGGGCCCCTGCCACTCGTGTCGGAGACCTGGATGAAGCCTCTGGCTCTCGCCTGGCTCAGCTCTGGCTGATGTAGCCACTTGGGTTGTGAAGCAGCGGATGGAAGCTCTCTCTCTGTCTCTCCCTCTTTCTCTAACTCTTGCTTCCAAATAAATAAAATCTTAAAAAACCGATAGGACCTGCAGCAAGAGGCATAGCTTGCTAAAGGAACGCCGCGCGTCTACAGCGCAGCTTGCGTTGTAAAAGCCCTGGAGACAGGAAGGCTCCATCATTTAAATGCGGAGAAGACGGCCTGGTGGGCCGCAGAGTCTGCTCTGCTTGAAACAGACCTGCCTGGCTTCACGGCTCGCACGGGGGGAGCTCCGTTTCTGCCCCTGCCCCCCGGCTTCATATAAGCCGAGCCCTGGAATCCATTAGGGCTACCTGCACATCAGTGGGGCTCCCCTGTTGCCTTGCCGGCCCCAGGCAGCCACGTCCAGGGTCTTCCCAGCTGAGCACCCCTCCCCCCCGCACGGGGCTTCCCCGCTGACAAGCACTGGGCTCTCCTTTGGCATCGGGGGCGGGTTTCCTCTCTGCCCCCTTGGCTGTGAGGCCGCGTGCGGGGTCTAGAGCAGGAGGGCGTAGGTGCCGGTGCTCTGCCCTCGGGCGCCCACTCGCCACCATCCTGGTCTCCCTGGCGGCTTCTGCTGCCCTCTCAGTTGGTGCCTCGTGTGGTAGATGCCGGTGTCTAGGGGTGGGGACTTGGTGGGTTTTCTGCAGCTTCTCTTGTAATCGACCTCTCTCTGGTTCCCTGCCGTGTGGACCGAGCTGTCTGGGTTTGGGGGCAGTGGAGGCCCTGGGCCCTGCCTGCTGCCCGCAGGCACTGTTTGTCGTTCCTGGAGAGGCGCTGACTCCTTGTCTGGGACTCAGCCCATCTGCCAGCACCACCTGGGGCCAGGCCCACGTTACGGCTCCCGTGTGGGGCACCTGCCGCAGGGCCCTCGTGGAGGGAAGTCTGGCCTCTACCTGTGCTGCCGCCACAAGGCTGGTCGGGTCCTCGCATGCAGCCCAGTCCTGTGGGAGCAGGTGGATATCGGAAGGGCGCAGAAGACGCTCTGGGGATGGCTCAGACCTTTTAATCTCGTGCTAATCCCACTGGAAGCTCCTGGTAGTTTTGTATCACAACTTGAGGGCCTGGGAGGCCACTCCATGCTTTGCGAGTCCCCGTAAATTCCAGCCCGAGCCTGGGACACCGCCCATCGTATTAAAACAAAGGTGCAAGTCAGGAGACCGCGCGCCACTTGTCTCTGGTTGCAGACTCTCTGCCATCGCTGTTTGCGTAACATCAAGCGTGAGGCATAGAGCGGGTGCTTGTGAACCTGACTCAGATCTCCTGGGAGGGAAGCGCCAGGTGCTTTGAGGGCACGCAGTGAGCAGAGAGCAGCCAGGAGCTCCTTGGACACAGGGCCGTGTCCTCTCCTAGGCTTCCAGGCCTGCGAGGCCGGTGCTAACACTGTCTGCATACGTGCGCTCTGCCCCTGTTTCCACACCCGTTCCTTCTCCCTTCCAGTGGGCACTCGGCAGCCTTGTGGACGAGGCTGTTTTCTCGTCTTAGAAACAGCACGGCTGGAGGATCGGTAGCTTCTGTTTCACCCTGAAAACACGGCCCTCTGGTTTGCCTTCCCCAGAGAGAAGGGAGGCAGGGACAGTGCCCGGCCAGCACCATGTGCCCAGTGCAGATGGCAGCCATGCCATTGGCCCCTCACGCACCCCATCTGTTGCTCCTGCAGGCGACGTTCAGGTTCCAGGGCCTCCCACCAATGTGCACGCCTCGGAGATCAGCAGAAACTACGTGGTGCTCAGCTGGGAGCCCCCAGTGCCCCGGGGCAAGGAGCCGCTCATGTACTTCATCGAGAAGGTACGTCTGAGCCCTTGGGAAGCCGCCCCGTGTGCCCGCAGGTGCTCTCGACCTACTTAGAATGAGGCTAAAGGCAGGGCAGTGCTGAGACCAGCAGGAATGTTCCAGAATGGAAACCAGCACAAGGGAGGGCTGTCCATTTTGGCGCTGTGGCCCTTCCAGCGGGCAGTGTGGCTAATCACCTCCCTGGCTTCTGTGCCCTCCGCCGTCTGGTGAGGAGTTGAGCCTGGGGGACTGCAGGGAAGCAGAGGGTGGTGCCCCGCATGTGTGCCTGTGCAGGGCCTGTGCAGAGCCACTGTCACACGCAGATACCCCGTGGCCTGCGTTTCTCACCCACGCATAGAGAGGTGCACAGTGGGTTGTCTGTTGCAGCCTTGAAAACACACCCGTGGTACATTGTATGTTGTATCTCTCTCTCTCTCTCCCAAACACACACGCACACACACAGAGTACATTATATACTGTAGCCCTTCTCGCTGTCTCACGCACATATAGTATGTTGTATATGAGAGCCCTGAACACGCACACAGAGTACGTTGTGTTTTGTAGCCCCACTCTCTCACGTGCACACATAGTATATTGAATATTGTAGCCCTGAGCACACACACAGAGTACACTGTACATTGTAGCCCTGCTGTCACACACACACACACACACACACACACAGTATGTTGTATATTATGGCCCTGCCCCCTGTTTCTCTCTCTCAAACACACACACACACAGTATGTGTGTATTCCAGCCCTACCCTCTCTCACACATATGCACACATATGTAACCAACAAAATATCACTCACACTAACCTTCTATGCCCTGTGTGCCCCCGTGTGGCTGAGCCGTCTTATTGCATAAAACCCTCTGTGGCCTGCTTCTGTGATGGGTCTCCTCCCACTATGGACATTGGAGGTGTAGTTGCATAAACCTTCAAAGTCCAATAAACCTTTTAACTATGGTCTTGTGACCCTAAATTAACAATGTAATAGATAAATTTATATCCTTTTATACCAGTTAGCATAGTGCAGGATGTAAAATGATACAAACATCTGACCTACAATGCAGTAGTCACGGGCGGTGCAGAGCCCACGGGCTGTTGTTACTGTGGACGTGCAGAGCCCACGGGCTGTTGTTACTGTGGACATGCAGAGCCCACGGGCTGTTGTTACTGTAGACGTGCAGAGCCCACGGGCTGTTGTTACTGTGGACGTGCAGAGCCCACGGGACGCTGTTACTGTGGACGTGCAGAGCCCACAGTCTGCTCTTGCTGTAGAGGGTGCGGTGTGGGGCTGTAGCTGGGGTGCTGCAAGTGGAGGGCTGCCCCTCACGCTGGCCGTGAGATGTAGTTACTGTGTCACGAAGGCTGTCACTGCCAGCTCTGTGTGGGGTGTTCCCAGCGTGGAGGGTCTCCCATGAGCACCAGAAATGCCAGTGTTTGCACACACATTTGTAGGATGAGGCCCCTGGCTGCGCCCCGGGCCGGCAGCTGGGCTGCACTGCCTGCTCTCTGTGGCGGACGCGTGTCCTGACCTGTTGAGCAGTTGCAGGTGAGCCTTGCAGCCCAGGACCTGGGCTGGACCCCCACTCAGGAGGGGAGCAGAGGCTGCAGGTGGGCGGTAGCCTTTTAGTGACTTAGCGCATGTCAAGGCCCTAGAAGAACCTCGAGAAGAGCTGCCACCTCGTTCTGCCATGACTCAGCACTGCGGGCGCCTCCTTCACACTGGAGCATACGCGGCTGAGCAGGTTGTCCTCTGAGCTCAGTCCCACGCAGACGAGTGCCACTGGTTCTGGGTGGATCACGATAGCCATGCCCTGCCTGCTGCCGTGGCCCACAGATGTGGCTGTGCAGTGGTTCCTTCCCCTTTGGGCTCTGCGTGTGAGGCCGCGGGGCCTGGCACCTGTGCCTGCTGCGGGGTGTTCAGCAGGCAGCCTCTGCCACACAGCCAGACCCTCAGGCCACCCTGCAGGCCCTGCTCACCAGGTGGGGGGCCCATGCCTCGGGTAGGTCCCCAGGTCCTCCTCAGGTCCCCGGGGGCCTGGCTGTCTCCCGCTCTGACCTGAGGCCCTCTCAGAGGATGCTTCCCTCTGACCCAGGGTCCTCATGCCTCCTCCGCCCCAGATGCCCTCGTCTAGAGCGAGGATGCGCGTGGCTCCATGGGGACCAGCATGGGGGACACCAGCCGGGCCCTGCTCTGAGCCGTGGTAGTCCAGGCACACTACCAGAGCCTGACTTTCTGCTTTGGCCAAAAGGAGAGAGACTGCTTTCACCCGGCCTCGCGGCCGCTGCTGAAGAGAGCTACACAGCCACACTTTCAAAGGGGCGTCTGTCTGTGGGAAGTAAGCAGGATGCTCAGGCGTTAAGGATCAAACTCAGTGTGCAGCACAGAAAACCTGGAAAATGCAGAAAAGTCACGTGGGATAAAACTACACTCCCAATAATTCCATCACGTGAAACCTTTCAAAAAGTTTGTGGAAAAAATGGAATTGTAAGATGTTTATTTTGGTGCGAAAAATTTTGAAATCCATGATTAGTTTTTTTTAAATTTTTTGACAGGCAGAGTGGACAGTGAGAGAGAGAGACAGAGAGAAAGGTCTTCCTTTGCCGTTGGTTCACCCTCCAATGGCCGCCGTGGCTGGCGCACCGCGCTGATCCGAAGGCAGGAGCCAGGTGCTTCTCCTGGTCTCCCATGGGGTGCAGGGCCCAAGCACTTGGGCCATCCTCCACTGCACTCCCTGGCCACAGCAGAGAGCTGGCCTGGAAGAGGGGCAACCAGGACAGAATCCGGTGCCCCGACCGGGAGTAGAACCCGGTGTGCTGGCGCCGCAAGGCGGAGGATTAGCCTAGTGAGCCATGGCGCCGGCCACTATTAGTTTTTTATAGTATGAATTTCCGTGAACTTTTTAAAGATCCTACCTATGGAATAGTCAGTATTAATGCCTGGTGCATAGGGTCTTGTTCTCCACAGTCATGTGCTTGTGGACATACTCTGCATTCTCCCTTGCAATCAAAATGCCTCAGTTTCTCTTGTTTGATCAGGATCTTTATATGTAATTTAATAGCCGCATGTTATAAATGCCTGAGGAACCATGGAGTCCCCTACCCTAATGCTGGACGTTGAGATTACTGTCACTTTGTCACTATTGCTGCAGGAGTTACCTTTTAATCAGAAAATAACCACCGAGTTATGATGGAATTCTGTGAACAGTGCCCCAGTTACTCACATTTCCCTTTGCTTTACTACCCACATATGGATTCTTCAGGTTTCTATAATTTATTCACTTTAGTGAAAACAGTCCTTACTGGTAGACTTGCAACTTTTGTTAATATCACCTACCCCTTCAGATGGGCCTCACCTTTATCACGGTTCACAGAAGCTTTACTGACTGTCCACTGTAGAGGACATCAGGGGCCTGCCCAGAGCACAGCCTGGTTACACCACGGCTGGGGGCTCCTCTGCTCACTTTCTCGAACTCTCAGCTTCATCCCGGTCCCGTCTCTCCCTAGTCCGTGGTCAGCAGTGGTAACCCTGGTCCCGTCTCTCCCTAGTCCGTGGTGGCCCTGGTCCTGTCTCTCTATAGTCCGTGGTCAGTGGAGGCAGTGGTAACCCTGGTCCTGTCTCTCCCTAGTCCATGGTCGGCAGTGGTAACCCTGGTCCCGTCTCTCCCTAGTCCGTGGTCGGCAGTGGTAACCCTGGTCCTGTCTCTCCCTAGTCCAAGGTCGGCAGTGGCAGTGGTAACCCTGGTCCCATCTCTCTCTAGTCCGTGGTTGGCAGTGGTAACCCTGGTCCTGTCTCTCCCTAGTCCGTGGTCAGCAGTGGTAACCCTGGTCCCGTCTCTCCCTAGTCCGTGGTCGGCAGTGGTAACCCTGGTCCGGTCTCTCTCTAGTCCGTGGTCGGCAGTGGTAACCCTGGTCCGGTCTCTCTCTAGTCCGTGGTCGGCAGTGGTAACCCTGATCCCGTCTCTCTCTAGTCCGTGGTCGGCAGTAGTAACCCTGGTCCCATCTCTCCCTAGTCCAGTCCGTGGTCGGCAGTGGTAACCGTGATCCCGTCTCTCTCTAGTCCGTGGTCAGTGGAGGCAGTGGTAACCCTGGTCCTGTCTCTCTCTAGTCCGTGGTCGGCAGTGGTAACCCTGGTCCCGTCTCTCTCTAGTCCGTGGTCAGTGGAGGCAGTGGTAACCCTGGTCCTGTCTCTCTCTAGTCCGTGGTCGGCAGTGGCAGTGGTAACCCTGGTCCCGTCTCTGCCTAGTCCGTGGTCGGCAGTGGTAACCCTGATCCCGTCTCTCTCTAGTCCGTGGTCGGCAGTAGTAACCCTGGTCCCATCTCTCCCTAGTCCAGTCTGTGGTCGGCAGTGGTAACCCTGGTCCCGTCTCTCCCTAGTCCATGGTCGGCAGTGGTAACCCTGGTCCCATCTCTCCCTAGTCCGTGGTCGGCAGTGGTAACCCTGGTCTGGTCTCTCTCTAGTCCGTGGTCGGCAGTGGTCACCCTGGTCCCGTCTCTCCCTAGTCCGTGGTCAGCAGTGGTAACCCTGGTCTGGTCTCTCTCTAGTCCGTGGTCGACAGTGGTAACCCTGGTCCCGTCTCTCTCTAGTCCGTGGTCAGTGGAGGCAGTGGTAACCCTGGTCCGGTCTCTCTCTAGTCCGTGGTCGGCAGTGGTAACCCTGGTCCTGTCTCTCCCTAGTCCGTGGTCGGCAGTGGCATTGGTAACCCTGGTCCCGTCTCTCCCTAGTCCATGGTCGGCAGTGGCAGTGGTAACCCTGGTCCCATCTCTCTCTAGTCCGTAGTCGGCAGTGGTAACCCTGGTCCCGTCTCTCTCTAGTCCGTGGTCGGCAGTGGTAACCCTGGTCCCGTCTCTCCCTAGTCCGTGGTCGGCAGTGGTAACCCTGGTCTGGTCTCTCTCTAGTCCGTGGTCGGCAGTGGTAACCGTGATCCCGTCTCTCTCTAGTCCGTGGTCGGCAGTAGTAACCCTGGTCCCGTCTCTCTCTAGTCCGTGGTCGGCAGTGGTAACCCTGGTCCCGTCTCTCCCTAGTCCGTGGTCGGCAGTGGTAACCCTGGTCCCGTCTCTCCCTAGTCCGTGGTCGGCAGTGGTAACCCTGGTCCCGTCTCTCTCTAGTCCGTGGTGGGCAGTGGCAGCTGGCAGCGAGTCAATGCGCAGACGGCCGTGAGGTCCCCTCGGTACGCGGTCTTTGATCTCGCTGAGGGGAAACCCTACGTGTTCCGGGTGTTGTCAGCCAACAAGCATGGGCTCAGCGACCCGTCGGAGATCACATCTCCCATCCAGGCTCAGGACACGATTGGTGAGTTCTCGCGCAGTGGCTGGGGTGCAGGGACGGGGGTGAGGGTGCTGTCTGCGACGGAGACTCCCTGCGACGGTTTGGTTGACCCTCGGCCTTCCTCCCGAGCTCCATGTGCTTTTCACGAAACCAACTAATGGACTAAAGATAGGTGTAGTCGATGGTCCCATTTAGAACAAAGCCCAGCCCCCAAACACACCGGGACTCCTGCCCTGAGGCCTGAAGACCCCGGTGGGAAGAGGTCGAACAGAGCTGCAGAAATCAGCTGCTGTGCCAGGGGCTGTGGCAGACCAGGCTTCCTGGAAGCCCCAAGCCTGGTGGTGTAGACGGGACCTCAGGAGCCGGGCTCTGAGGACTGGGGTGGGCTGCGCCCTCTTCCCCTGCTTCCCGGGCATTCGGAAGCCGCTTCCTGAGTGAGCGAGGAGGCCTGGCTGGCGGACGGAAGTGCGGGCCTCCGTCCCTCTCTGGGTCTGGTCTAGGACACGGCCCCTCCATGGGGCTGGCCTCTTCCCTCTGAACAGCAGCGTAGACAGTGACAGAAAGTGACAAGCACAGGGCATGTGGCAGGGCAGCTCCCGCTGGCTCTGAGGACGCTGCTGGCTCCATGGAGCCCTGCTCAATGCGAGGAGACCTCACTGTCAAATCGAGATTGAATTCTGAGTCCCCGGTAGGTTCCCATGAATCTGGAAAAAATGTGGTTTTCTTATATTCAGTAATTTACATTCCAAATATAGTTATTGCCCAGTTAGCCAAATTGCCTGTGCCACCAGCGGGTTCCCTTTTGACCGCTCTGGTGGGGGTGCCAGTGTCATGAGTCCGATTCCTCTCCTTTGGGGCTGGGCGGGTCTCGGGATGACATACGTGATGCAGCACCTCCCGGCGCTCAGCCAGGGCTGTCCTGCTCCCTGCCCCGCTCGGGGTCCCGCCCGAGCCCCGGCCTTAGTTCCTGGAGGACAGTGGCTCGGCTGCTCCTCCTGACCAGTCCCTTGTCCCCTCGGCACAGCGGTCCCTTCTGCTCCCGGCCGGGTGCTGGCTTCCCGAAACACCAAGACGTCGGTGGTGGTGCAGTGGGACAGGCCGAAACACGAGGAGGACCTGCTGGGCTACTACGTGGACTGCTGCGTGGCGGGCACCAACGCGTGGGAGCCGTGCAACCACAAGCCCATTGGATACAACAGGTGCCCGCCCCTCCTGCGCCTCCCCATGCCCCGCGGCCCAGCTTGTCCTGCCTGAATGCTGTGTCCACTGGCCCCACTCATGGTCGGGACTGTCGTCAGCTAGCGAGATACACTCAGCCGCTCTGCTGGGGAGGGCTGCGGCGCCCCGTGCTGATTTCCAAGCTTTCGGTGCCTCCCTGCAGCACCAGCCGTCCTGTTCCTCTGCCCCAGGGAGGCAGCCCTCCAGGGCTAAGTACCTGGATGACAGACAAAACCCATCCAATCCGAAAGCCAGTATTTGAACCTCATCTACCCAACTTCAAAGTCTCAGCCTCTTGTTACTCAGTATATTTGGCTTTTAAGGTTTTATTTAAGAATTGCTTATTTTCACTTTATTTGAAAGGAAGAAACAGAGTTCTATCTGCTATTTCACTCCCCAAATGCCTGTAACAACCAGGGCTGGGCCAGGCTGAAAGCAGGAGCCAGGAACAGAAGGTGGGCCTCCCCTGGGGGGCAGGGTCCAACTACTTGAGCCAACACTGCTGCCTCCTGGGCTGCATTAGCGAGAAGCTGAGTGGGAAGTGGAGCAGTCAGGACTCAAACCAGGCACTGCAGTCTGGGATGCGGGCGCCCAAAGTGTAGTCATTTTTTTTTTTTTTAAGATTTATTTATTTGAAAGTCAGAATTATACACAGAGAGAAGGAGAGGCAGAGAGAAAGAGAGAGAGAGAGGGAGAGAGAGAGAGAGTTCTTTAATGTGCTGGTTCACTCCCCAGTTGGCTGCAATGGCCAGAGCTGCACTGATCCGAAGCCAGGAGCCAGGAGCCAGAAGCCAGGAACCTCTTCCAGGTCTCCCATGCAGGTGCAGGGGTCCAAGGACTTGGGCCATCTTCTGCTGCTTTCCCAGGCTGTAGCAGAGAGCTGGATCGGAAGTGGAGCAGCCGGGACTAGAACTGGTGCCCATATGGGATGCCAGCATTGCAGGTGGCAGCTTTACCTGCTGTGCCACAGTGCCGGCCCCCCAAGTGTAGTCTTAACCAGTGCACCAAATGCCTGCCCATGGGTTCTTCTTGGTAAGGAGTTGGCTGTTTTCTAATAGACCTCTGGTCAAGACGGCATCCAGAAAACTTGGAGATGCAAGTGACTGGAAGGACGTGTGGGCAGTTCTGGGTATCGCTGGGCGCTGTAGCCTTACTTTTCCACCCTGCATGTCGACTGAGCTGAAATCAAAAGTGAAAAACGAGTGTGTGCCGTGCATCAGTGAGACACTCGGAAGGGAAGCTGCGTTCCGTCCACGCGGAGCTTTCTATGGAGCATTAGCGATCCCTGCTTCTGCCGAGGTGGGGGGAGGAGACGTGTCCCGTGGTCACGCTCCCGTGCCTGTTTCTCTCAGGTTCGTGGTGCATGGCTTGACGACCGGGGAGCAGTACATCTTCCGGGTGAAAGCCGTGAACGCCCTGGGCACCAGCGAGAACTCCCAGGAGTCTGAGGTCATCAAGGTGCAGGCCGCCCTGAGTACGTACGTAGCGTGGGCCGCTCGGCTCCGGCCGCCTGGGCTCCGGCACGGCGTGGTTTGGAGGCTGAGGCGGGCAGGGGTGTCGGTTCTGAGAGGCTGCCACGTGGTTGGGTGTCACCGTGGAGCGGCAGAGTGAGAGGATGGCCGCGTGCTGGCAGAACGCACACAGAAGCAGAGCCCCAGAGGGCACGAGCGTTCCCCCGGGCCGTGCTCACACGCGTGCAGCAGCAGCCAACAGCGGTGGCCTCGTCAGCTGGTGCAGGCTTAACGCACCGCGCCAGAGCTGTCCACGTCGTTTACGTGGCTCAGTGGCTCCGTGCGCCAGGGGCGGTGTTCAGAATCGTCTAATGTTTTGATCAAACGTGACAGCTGGTCTTGGCGACGGCCCCTGGGAGGCACCTGGACGCTCAGAGCGCTGAGCAGTGGGGCGGCCACCCTGGCTATTGCTGACAGCCGCAGCGCCCGGGGCACCGGGGATACGGGTGTCACGCACTCCGCTATTTCAGTCCCGGGCCGTCTGCTTCCTGCGCGTCATTTCCTCCTCACGGTTTCCGCTCCGAGTAAATCTGCCGGCACTTTCAGAAATGAAGATTTCTAATGATTTGGGCGTTGCCACGTCAGAGTCCCTGGCCAGAAATCAAAGCACATCAGTCGCTCTAGTTTAGGGTCTTTCTTTACTCAGACCTTGCGCTCCTCCCCTCCTCCAACCCGCCAGGGCTTTTTCCAAAGTTGCCCTGTGCCCTGTGCACTCACCCCTGCTAAGCAGAGGCCGACACTTAAGATTCCGGTTCTGGCTGCCCTGGCTCTCGGGTCAGGCAGGGCAGTGCTGGCCTCCCTCTCCCTGCTGGGGAAGGCGTCCTGCTCTTTCTCACCCAGGGGCAGGTGGGGTGTAAGGCCCTGGGCTAGTCTGCAGTTTCTGGGCCTGGGTGGGAATGAGACCCCTCCGGCTGCTTCCCCTCCTGCTGCCAATGGAAACGCTCCTTCTCTGAGCATCCCCGCGGGGCAGCCGGGGATCCTGTCACCGCGAATGTCCAGGCCACCCAGAGTCCACTGCCCGTGTGTGGTTAGAACGCTGGTGGGTGTGTTTGTGCCCCCCCCCCCCCCCCCCGGAAAGGAAGCGCAGAACGCTTGGTGGGGTGGGGCGGCCCTGGGCCTCGGGTGACTCCATGCTGTGCCCCCTGCAGCTGTGCCCTCCCATCCGTACGGGGTCACGCTGCTGAACTGTGACGGCCACTCCATGACCCTCGGCTGGAAGGTGCCCAAGTTCAGCGGCGGCTCGCCCATCCTGGGCTACTACGTGGACAAGCGCGAAGTCCACCACAAGAACTGGCACGAAGTCAACTCCTCCCCGATCCAGGAGCGGATCCTGACGGTGGGTTTCCATCTGCCCGTTGGCTCCGCCTGAGGGATGTTTGTGTTCTGGCCTGGCTCCCTCTTCAGTGCCGTGGCTTTGGAGCCTTTAACCCAGAGCAGAGCTGAATCCAGAAGCTCTGAGCTCCAGCGGCCTCAGGGTCTGGGACCCCAGAAGAGCCTAGGGGCCGATGGTTCCCCGAGAGGCGACGAGGGCGCTGTGCGGGTTGGGGGTGGGGGCTGTGCTGCGGTCCCATGGCCGTGACTTGCCTGCTCTGAGCCCTGGAAGGTGGAGTGGGGGTGAGGGGCTCCCACCCCACATGTACGTAGTGGCTGAGGGCAGGCTCAGTGCTGATCAGCCCACGGGAAAGGACGGATGTGGCCTCGGCTCGGGACTCGCCACCTCCCCAGGACCCCTGAGTCCCGAGCCTCTGTGCACCGTGGGCAGCAGGCCCAGGAGAAGAGCAGCAGAACCTGGATTCAGATCTGGAAGGAAATCCAGGCACAAACCTGGCGCCCACCTGGCTTCCGATGCACCTGTGGCGCCTTGGCCTTCTCATGTGAATGCCTGTGACTGGGGCTCACGCATCACCTCGGGGGCCGCCAGGCCTCAGGGGAGCCACTGGCCCTGTGAAATGAGGGGTTTGACGGAGGTCTGAGAATGGCCCATCGTAGCTTTGCAAAAGGTTCTGTCTTATGGTACAATGCATGTTATGTTTGCCATGCAGATGTGTGTCATACGCTTGTGTCTGTGACACGCACGTGGTGCTCTGTGCTGCCAGCCCTCAGGTGTGCTGTGACGTCATCGACACGTGGCACGTCGGCCTCCAGCCCTAGCTGCTAATTTATAAAAAGGTTTACTTATTTGAAAGTCACACTTACAGAGCCAAGGGAGATAACTGTTTAGAGAGAAATCTTCCATCTACTGTTTCACTCCCCCGATGACCGAAATGTCCAGGGCTGGGCCAGACTGAAGCCAGGAGCTTCATCTGGGTCTCCCACGTGGGTGCAGGGGCCCAAGCACTTGGGCCACCTTCCACTGCTTTCCCAGGTCATTAGCAGGAACCTGGATCAGAATTGAGCATCCGGGACACGTACTGGCAGCCATATGACACGCAGGTGTCACAGGTGGTGGCTCTACCTGCTGTGCCCCATTGCTGGCCCTCGTAGCTGCTCTTTTTTTTTTTTTTTTATTTGAAAGGCAAAGTTACAGAGAGAGAGGAAGAGACAGAGAGAGAGATCTTCTATCTGCTGTTTCACTCCCCACATGGCTGCGACGGCCAGAGCTGGGCTGGTCTGAAGCCAGGAGCCAGGAGCTCCACCCAGGTCTCCCGTGTGGGTGCAGGGGCCAGAGCACTTGGGCCATCCTCTGCTGCTTTCCCGGGCCATCAGCAGGGAGCCGGATTGGAAATGGCGCAGATGGGATGCCGGCGTCAGAGGTGCACCACAGGGCCTCCTACTCCGACAGGCACTTCCCTCCTGCACGCTGCTTCCGTGAGGAGGGGCAGGCTGCCCCCCAGCCAGCACAGCGGTCTCCCCGCAGGCGTCTCGCTGGGAAGCTTTGTCCTGCAGTGACCCTCACCTGGAGGCTTCGGTCCCCCCCATGCCAAGGTCAGGCGCTGGTTTCCGTCAGAGGCCTCCTGTAGTGTCCTGTCCTCCAACCCAGAGGGCAGTGGGGGCTGCGATGGGGACCTTAGCCATGTAAGGAACGGTGGTGGCTTGATCTTGCTGAGCTGGTGGGGCTATGGCAGCAGGGCACAAGGCTGCCCAGGGGCCAGGACTCCCCGTCATCCCCTCAGTTCCCTCCCGCCAGTCCCAGGGTCTGCTGGGGACAGTGTGGGCCCGAGATCTCAGCTCCTCTCCCATCTCTGCCCTCTGTCCTCTCTCTGTGGACATTGTCTCTCTCAGTCTGAGTTTCCTGTTTCCCCTGCGACTGGCATCTGTAGGCTATTCAGTCTGACCTGTCTACAAGGTTCCTTACAAATATTTCCCCTTACAAGTCCGTCATAGGTACTTCTCCCTCCACCCCGTGGGGTGAAACCCTCCTTCCATTTCACATATTAACTGAGACAAAATGTGACAGGTGGAAGGCTTGACAGAAGGCTCATTCTATGAGTTCAAGATCGCTGCCACCAACTTGGCTGGGATTGGGCAGCCGTCTGACCCGAGTGAGCACTTCAAGTGTGAGGCCTGGACAGCACCAGAACCCGGTGAGACCACCCCTCCCGCAAGGCCCCCTCTCTGCTGGGGGCCAGCGTCGGCCCCTCTGCCCTCTCCTGCCTCTCCAGGCCTGCGAGCAGTGCCCATTCATCTCCCGGGACAGGGAAGGGCTGGGCGTCAGGGCTGGGTATAGCCGTGGGTGGGGCTGACCAGAGTCTGCTATCAGGACAGGCACAGACACAGACATGGAGCCGGGAATGGTGTAGACCGAGAGCCCGGGCTCAGGTGGGAGGGAGGAGGGCCGCACAGAGAAGGGACCCCACTGTGGGCCCTGGATGTGGGGGTGCACTCCCCACAGCAGGTGGGGCAGCTGGCACCCCGGGGACCACTCCCCACAGCAGGTGGTGCAGCGACTACTCTCCAAGGTGGGCAGGTGGGACAGCCAGCACCCGGGGACCACTCCCCAAGGTGGGCGGGTGGGACAGCCAGCACCTGGGGACCACTCCCCAAGGTGAGTGGTGGTGCAGCCAGCACCCAGGGACTACTCCCCAAGGTGGGCGGGTAGGACAGACAGCTCCTGGGGACCACTCCCCAAGGTGGGCGGGTGGGACAGCCAGCACCCGGGGACCACTCCCCAAGGTGGACGGGT